CTCTCTCTCTCTCTCTCTCTCTCTCTCTCTCTCTCTCTCTCTCGGGACAGTAACCCTGAATTGATCTACATTTTGACATCAGTGCGGGGCGATTGCTAGAATTGAGTTACCTATTTTAAACATTTCTGTCAAACAGAATGACTGCGATATGTGACACTAAAACGTGCTGACTATTTTTTTTTGTAGCAGTATACTCGTAAAACCATCTTCATTAGAACAGTTCTTCTCCACTGAATGGTTTCAAATATCTAGGTTTCACTACCTCTCCATTGTTATACTCACTCTGTTGAGGTCAAACGTGAACGCCATTAGTAGTATACTTTTTCGTTGTTTAGTTTTGCTAAAGGTTGCTTATTGTGCTAAAAATAATCCATTGCTTCCAATATTATCTTTGTGACCTCCCAAAGTAGGGATAAGTATGTCGGTGTTATATTCGGTGTTTAAGGTCATTGGTCTACGTTACATAGAAAGTATGGGACCTCGGTAGGTAAAAAACAAAGCACTAATTTGTTATAACTGTTCACAATCGTGCATGGAAGTTATACTGAATATAAAACAAAACAACCTCCTCCCCGCCCTCCCCCTTCCGAAAAAAGCAAACAAGCAAGCACTTTCACTGACTGATAATATAGTTAATACGAAGGACTTCTTTTTTTAGTCGTCAACTTCATTGCCTATAAGAGGTCATTGTATTTGCTTGTTTTTTTTCTGAGTTTCAGTAAAAAGAAGATGACATAGTTTAGAGCAGAAGAAAATACGGCAGGGGGCAGAAATAATTGGGGAAAAAAGTAAAAAGGAGACATAGAAACTTAAAGTGGTGTCTTCAAAGCATCTGTTCGTTGTAGATATATAGTTTTAGTGTCAATTTCAATACTGTGAGCTTATTTCTAGAGACCTGTGAATTTAACACTATTCCCCTTAGAAACAGGTCGTGTCGTTGTAGACCCTTGAAAAACTTCCCATTTTGCCAAAATGTCAGAATTCTGTTTTGTGGATTCCAACAATGGCCTTCTACACCTTAGCTCGGCATGTTACATAAGCCTTCCTAGCCTAAGGTTGTAATGTGAAGCCTTCGAAGCTATCAAGGTAACTATGATTACTTTAAATCAGTGTTCATATACCTTTCAATAGCTGTGCTCACATTTGCCACATTCAAGAGGCTCAAGATTTCCTACCGCCCTTCTCCATGCATTTCCAATTTAGGACATTGAATGACTATGACCCGGGCAACCCTAAATGCCCACCCGAATTATCAAACTGCACACTAGTTGGCGATACCGTGACTCTTTGAGGACGCAGTTAACACATAAACAAATGTAATGTGCGATCAGCTGCAGATGAAAAGCAATTAATTATCGACATATTTCGAACTATAATACACAAGTCAGAAACACAAATTTGCACATTTCATAGTACAAAATACACAGGTACCTGGCTACCCGGAGGTATCATCTCTGACTCAGAGGTTGTCGTGTAATGACCCTCCATTCGTCACGATCGCGAGCTGCCGTTGCACATTCTGCTGTATCCAGGCCAGTTCATGTTTTTATGTTGTCCATCCATGTTGCTCATTGTCTTCCCTTGGCTCACCTCCTCATCATACTTCCTTCAAACACCTATATAACAATGGTCTCTTGTCGTTTTAAATGGTCAAAGTATTGTATTTTTCTTCATTTAATTTCTTCAGAAGGGTTTATCATGAATGGAGAATCAGACACACATCCTTGTTCGTCTTTTTGTTGCTTTCCTACTGCCTGATTTTTCGAATTTAAGAGAAAAAAAACAAAACAGAATTGTAAGGTCTATAAAAAGAACAAATTACACTTTAAACAAAAACGAGGCTGTAATAAGAGACACGTCTGTTAATGTAGTTGAATGACCAGAACGCTCAGCCCCAATAAGTCTTAACAACTTCAGTAGTTCATTTTTGCACTTCGTATCCAAATCACCGTGTCATATATTTTTTCTTCCCCCAGAACGCAAACGTCCAAGGGACAAAGAGAAACCTTCCCCAGCTGACTAGCAGAAGTGATGACCTCCGAGTTCCTAGCCCAGGCTTCCGGAAAAGACATGGGACGCTGCTGTTGCAGGTAATTGCAACTTTTACTGAAGACGTTTTATGCCGCCCGCGACATATTAAGACAGAGGAGTCCAACCATTTCACTATTGATGACTCTCCTGTTAACATGAGTATACTTATAGAACACATTTTGAAATGTTACCCCCCTCCCTCTCCAAAAAAAAAGCGCCCAACAAAAAATAACAACAACACATCAACAACAAAAACAAACCAATCCAAACTAAACCAAATCAACCAAACAAACAAAAAAGCAAAAACAAAAACAACTACCTCCTCAAAATAGGAAAAACATGTTCTGATTTTGTTCAGTTGTTATTGAGAAGTACAATGCAGGATCAATATTTAAGGTAGTTATGCTTTTTTTTTCTTTATATATATATATATATATATATATATATATATATATATATATATATATATATGTAGTCTAAACAGCCGTATGCACTGCTCACCGTCGAACGCTCCGTATCCCGGGCTCTAGCATGGAGATCATCAGGAGAGAATGCGTCGCTGTTTCGGGCTCTTCCTCTCTACAGCTTTTCTGACGCACCGAGCCCCCTCACCGATTTGAGGTCTCCATGTTAGTTCGACTGTTTTCCTCTGCTGCCAACTTTAGGATTCATTCCAGTCTGAGTCCTCTCGCTTCAACCAGATCCAGTGACTGGCTTTCTCTGCTGTCTCCTGAACGGAGTTTGTGAGTTCGTTGCTTTTCTTTGCAGTAAGTCCTGCCACTCTCATCCACTTACGGGCGCTTGTTGCTACAAAACCTCTGCATCCTACCTCTACCGGAAAATGGGTTGCCTTCCATCCTGCCTCCTCACATTGTTCGACGAGTGCCTCGTAACGGTTTTCTTTCCGCTCATGAGCGGCATAGATATTGTCCTCGTGGGGCACCGTGAGCTCTACCAAGAGCACCTCTTTGTCTTTTTCCTCCCATAACACAATGTCTGGCTTTTTCGTAGTTGGAATGGGGAAGAATCTCTCAAAGCCTTTTAAGTCAGCAGCTACCTCCCATGTGCCTCCGCTCTGGTCTTTCATGGCTTCGTTCGCTTTCTTTCTTTTGACAACCTTGCTTCCTTGCTGAACGAACGCAATCTTGGTGGGTCCATGCTTCTGTATCTTGGGGGCATATTTTCCTTCTTCCACCTGTTGTGTCGCCATTGTCGTGAGCACTTTCAACACCTCGTTGTGCCTCCAGGTGTATCTGTTAAGAGCCAGGTTGCAGTTTGACAAAATATGCTTCATGGTTCCTAGCTTACCGCATCTACACTTGTTGTCCTCCTGTACTTTCCATCTGACAAGGTTCACCGGTGAAGGCAGAACATCATACGTAGACCGGAGAAGAAAGCTCAGCCTTGATGTATTCCACTTCCAGATGTCACTCCACTCGACTTTTCTTTCCACTACATGCTCTTCCCATCTGGCCATTTGTCCTTGCTGGCTACACTGGATGAGATGAATTTCTCGCCTCTCTGCCTCCATCTTTTGCATATGTCTTGTTGCAGCTTTTCTTCTGTCTCGCTGAGACATTTTCCTGAAAGATCTAAAGTCGCCATTACCTAGCCCTAGTCTGTCAGGTTGCGCTGGACCGACAATGTCACCATGCTCCAATGCAGAGATGATCTCGTTAGCTGCAACTTCTGCCTTCCACTTTCTGGCTGTTTTGACATCTGGAGGTTTTCCACTGATCTCCTTATCCCTTGATTCTCTCAACATCAAAACGGTTCTAATCTTGCCTGCTTTGTAGATCTCCACGATTGACGTGAGAGGTAGTTGAAGCGCACCTCTATGTCTGTACAGGGATGACGTGTTAATGGTACGGGGTAGCCCCAGCCACTTCCTGATGTAGCTGTTACACTTTCTTTCGATCATCTCAACTCTTGACAGAGCAACTTCATACATTGTCAGTGGCCACGCCAATCGAAGGTAGAGGGCAAACTGTAGACACCATATCTTGTGCTTTCCTGGAAGCTTTGTCTGGTCAATTGCTTTCAGCCCATTTTCAGCCTGCTTCATGATTTCCACGCCTTGACTCCTATCTGACAGAGTTCCTGAGTACCACCGACCCAAACTTTTCACGGGTTGTTCTTTTACTGTGGGCATTTGTTCCCCTGCAATTGTGAACTTCAGTTGCTTCTGTTTTCCTTTGTTAATAGTCAGGCTTCTAGACTTTTTAGCTTTAAACTTCATCCTGGCCCAGGTGATAAGCTTATCGAGCCGATTCAACACACTTTGCATTGTGTCTCCATCTCTTGTCAGTAGGGTCACATCATCCGTAAAGGCTTTC